TCAGGGGCTTCCTGTGGCTGTGGAGACATTAAAGAAGATGAGGTTCAGTAACAAACCAACAAGTTTAGCACAAACAGACATATATATATCATTTTATACACTACCGGTCCAGTTTGTTACTGAAAACTATGCAGTTTAATGTCTCATTGCACTCTGGAATGAAAGCATAGTACAAATAACCAACTGGAGTTGAAACAAAAAAAAAGAATTCATTAACTCATCAAAGTGGCCACCATCCATCCATCCATCCATCCACCCTCCATCCACCCACCCCCATCCATCCTCCATCCCTCCATCCATCCATCCACCCTCTATCCATCCACCCCCCATCCATCCATCCATCCACCCACCCTCCATCCATCCATCCATCCACCCACCCTCCATCCATCCATCCATCCACCCTCCATCCATCCATCCAGTTCAGGGTTGCAGAGGGTGGAGTCTATCCCAGCTGACACAGTTTCAGGACAAATTTGTTTATGAATTTGTGAACTTTAGGAGGACCATGTGACATTTGCAGGACTATAAATCCCTCAGATTAAACTGGACTGGGTTACTGAGTCGTCAACATGGGAAAAGACCCAGGGAAACCGAGTTAATGATGGAAACCATAAATTTTACACTCGGATCAGCTCTCGCGGCCCGGTCCCAGTCCGTGACCCGGGGGTTGGGGACCGCTGCTCTGTGTTGCATGCTGGGGCAGCAGGTTGAGGGTCGCAGATGCCAACAGACTGAATAAACTGATCAACAAGGCCAGTAATCGAGTAAAATGTTAATCATATATATTTAATCTCTGTAATATTCTGGATATTTGAAATTGAGCTATTTGTATATATTTTGTAACTTTAACGAAACTATTAGTTCAGTCTGTTACTGCTCCTGTCCTGGAGCGACGGTGACCACATCACATCCTCTGGATCAATAAAGTATCCTGATTCTGATAAACGACCCCGATCAGTGAACAGCTTCATGTCATCAAGTTAAACGAGTCACCCTGGATATTTCCACAGCTAGTGTTCGATCACAGAACAGTGGCCAGTTAGCTCAGCTGGTCAGAGCGTGGTGCTAATAACGCCAAGGTCGTGGGTTCAAGCCCCATACTGGTCATGATGTGTAACTTCCAGCTCCTTCACTGGGTCTGTTTGAAGAGATGCTTTGTTTAATTTGGCTGATTAAATACAGAAAGCGGCTGCAGACACACCGAGTCTTCATCTGGGCCACTTCAGCTCAGCTATGTCACTGACAAATGTGTTGGCCCAGAAAGAGGAAAAAGCTGCTCATGAGATGTAGAGTTTGTGCCAGACGCAAAAAAGAAAAGCACGTAGGTGTTTTTACCCCAG